AAAAAAAAATGAGACTGAGTGATTCTATTAATTTATAGTTTTTGTATTCTAAGTAACACAACTCAGTGTTAAGTCATCATAAATCAACCAAGCCAAAGATATTGTTCAGAATGAACGTCGACAGCAGTAAATGACGATAACAACAAATGATGACAGCAATGGCAGTATTAAGTAGTAAAACTAAAAAAAAAAACTGATTTAAATATGATTAACATCAATTGTCTCAATTAAGTTTGGTCAAGTTTTGTTGCAGTATCTGCTGTATCAGTTGGGTTCAACAATGTTTAACAATGTAGCAAGGCGGACTGGAATAATTGATGCCAAATGATACCATGGGTGGTAACTATTCCACATTAACAACTCAGGATCCATCTGAGCCAGGAATTCTTGCATCCTTCAAAAATACCAGCACATCAACACGACATGGCATCAGCACTGCCGGTGACAATTATGGTGGCTGTAGCAGTGGCAGTGGTGGTGGTGGAAGTGGATTACATCGTATAGCTGGACGTTTTTCTGCTGGATTTGACGGTGGACAACCAAGACTGTGAGTACTTAATTGTTCAGTTTTTATCCCTTTATTTTTTTTAGTTTTTTGAAAACTCAATAAAATTTTAATGACATTTTTACATCAATTATTTGATCTACGTTTAAACAGTTCAGCAATAATTTTATTATTGCTAATGTTTCAGATGAAAGAATAATTGCAAAAACAAAAAAAAAACAGTCTGTACATAATAATGCATAGATTATTTGGATAAATAGACAGTAAAATTTTTTAGCTCTTTTCTCTCTTCCTAATTTAACAGAACAGATTTGAACTTAAATTAGTTGTTTGTTTTTCTTTTCAAGAAACTAGAAAAAGTAATCAGTGTGATGGATATGTTTGTCTATATTTTTGAAGAAAACGAAGTGTTAGTCAACTGATGGAACGACAACCAACAATACAACCGGCTGTACATACAGATGCTATTGGTGTTCTTGCTCCAGTACGTCCGGGTCTTGTAGTTAGCGGTGGACGGGATAAGGTTAGTGCTTAGTATAAAATTAACTTTTTTTTTAATAGAAGATATAGTAGCTAGCTATAAGCTTTGTTAGTATAAAATTAACTTTCTATAGAATCTATAGATTTATAAGCTAAACAGAGAGAAGAGTGCTTTGAATGAAAATAAAACTGTAAACAGAGCAAATGATTAAGGAACCAAGCTTGGTTGATAATCAGTGGAACAGAGCAATAAAACTTGCAAATTTTATTCCAACAACTAAGGCAACTAATTGCTTGTCTAAGTTTAATCGCTATTTTAATTGCCAATAAAACTACTGTTTTTGCTATGATATTATTTCTACTTTATTTGTTCAACTTTTTTTTTTTTATTGTAAAATATTTCTGAAAAACGATGAAGATCAGACATTTATTGGCTTTTTTTTATCTTCAAAAATATTTCAGCTAACATTTATTCAATGCTTCAACAATGAAATATATCGTGATCTTTGTAGTTTCTTTCCATTTTTATTTCCTACTTCTTTTTTATTTATTTATTTATTTGTTTTTTAGTTAATTGCACTGAACAACGTTGACAAAGGTCGTAGTATTTTCAAGTGGAATGGACACGAAAAAGAAATTACTAAAGTTTGTTCTCGTTTTCTATTTATATGAC